GAGGAACAGAAGACATAGTTCTTGAATGTACTTGTTTCTAGACAAAAATGTTCAGAAGCACATAAACAACAAGAAATGAATTCGACTGAATTAGGACATGTGCTGTTATTGGAACCCCAAATAAACTATTATGATTTTTGTTATCATTGGTGGCAGTATTGCTGTATTAATATACTATACTAATGTATTATGTGTACATTATACACGTATATAACATTCTAATATTATAAAAGCCTTAGTCTGTCTGTCTGTCTGTAATGCTTTATTCGCACTTTGATTGGTTGTCTTGGCAGTCAATCAGAGTGCTCCAACAGAGACACATGGTAGAGTGTCGCCATGACAGCAGGGACTGAGAGGCTGGAGCAGCGGGGGCTGGCCTTGCCCCCCCCCCCAGTCCTGCTCCTTGCAGCCAGGGGCGGGAGCAGGCCCCCACACCAACAACAGCCAGCAGGGAGGAGGAGGCAGCAGGGAAGAGGGGAGGAAAGGAGAGGAGTGGGAAAGGGACTGACTGGTAGCAGCACATGGCTGCCTGCCACCACTGCTGCCACTGCCCGCTGCCCACCACCATGTGCAAGCTCCCCTCCTCCCCTCCCCGGTCCTGGTAGGCAGGGAGTGGGGGGGAGTGCACAGGCACACACCTGAAGCAGCGGGGGGGGAACCAGATCTGAAACAATGGTGGGGAGGGGAGGGAATGAGCCTGGGCCCAAAGTGGTGGGTGGGGAAGGGAAGGAGCGGGCCTGGTCCTGGGGTGGCAGGCAGGGAAGAAGGGGAAGCCGGACCCCAATCTGAGGCGGTGGGGGAAGCGGGAAGGCCTCTATTTCTGCCACCAACCCCCTCCCCCATCATACTTGATGAGCAATTTGCTAGTACATTAATATATATCAATGTATCTTACACCTATGCTGAACAAACTTCCTGGTCACTTACAGCCTGCTCTATCACTCATATTTAATGATGACGATCTCCTTTCATTCCCATCCAGATCTTAAAACATACAAATGTGCAAATGCAAGCCCAGCACCCATCCCAACTAGACAAGCTGGGTACATAGCAGTATATTGTGGCCATGGCAGTCCTTTGCCACCCAATGCCAGGAATAGGTACCAGCTTATGCAGTTCATCCAGAGAAAAGGGGAAAGGCAAGTGGCTATGGGTAATCTGGCTCAGTACCATTACTTCCTTCCTCTGCTCATACTTCATTCTTGCACTTGCACAAGTCTCCCTAACCAGCAGAGCTCTCGGACAGGTCAGGAGATACATACACCTGCATACACCTGTTATGCAGTAATCTCAGTCCTGCAGCAGTGGCAAGGTTCATCCACTCAAGTTAGTGAACGCTTTGCTACTAAGTCCAAGGAGAGCTAGACAGACCCCTCTGACCACAATGGCTATGGCACTGACTGACTGCAGACAAAACAAATCCAGCAGGACTAGTGTGATATGGTTATTATGAGACTGAAGAGAAAAAGAAATAAAAAGCCTGAGATGCTGGAGCAGTAAGAAGGAAAAGGTTTTCTCTGTTGCAGCTTCCCTTCTCTAAATCCATCCTATAGAAGAGTAACACTACAGTTCTTTCCATGCTAAAAATCATGAGGTCCTGCAGAATATATACAATGAAGCAACCGTCAAGGAAACAGGGCAGTCTAATAGGCCCCTGTCACTTCTGTTTACAGCAGTGATTCTCCACCAGGGTGCCTCAGCACCCTGAGGTGCCTTGAGATCTTTCCAAAGATGCTACAATGTGGCACAGTGTTAGCACTGTTAGGTATGCAAGCAAAATTCACAAGTTAAAACCAGAGATTCCACACAGGAATTCATAATGTCAAAAACATTATGATCTGTTGGGGTCTTTCTGAGTTCTTTGCAACAGAAGAATTGCTCTATTACTTTTCTGGAGTCGAAAAACAAGTGAAACCTAAATGGTGGCATTTTATAAGGAGTGCCTTGAGACTAGTAGATGGTGCCTTGAGTCTAGTGAGGAGTGTCTAGAGCCTAAGCAGGTTGAAAACCATTGGTCTACAGTTTTATAAAAAGAATGCTTCAGCATCATGATATTTAATAGGAAAAATAAATGTTCTCCAGGGACCCAAGCGCATCTCCTGGGTCCTGTAAAAGGTAGTTCAGAGTCCCTTCTAGATAACCTCCTGGGGTGGTATCCAAAGGAAGATGAAGCAGCCTCAAGGTTCATGAGCTATGGGCATGTCTACATGCCATCATACGATGATGTTGTTACAGCACCGTGCTTTAGCACTTCCTTTTGGAAGTACTAAAGCATGGCACAGTAGGGGCAGTTACTGCACCATGAGTGCGGTGCACAGTTAGATTTCACCACTGTGTCACCACAGCAGCACGCTATACCGGGGGAGCACGCCAGTACAGTGACGTAGCTGATGTTCATGCGTAGACTCAAGTGATCATCACATCACTGTAGTGTCCTGTATGGCACCATAGTACATCATTATGTTGCCATAAAATATACCCTATGAAAGAGGAACCCATCACTCAAACAAAAATATCTGACCATTGGCAGCAAGGGGCATATTATTACAATCAGAATGGACTGAGGTTTCTTGGTGTTTTCTCTAAATGGTCTCTAGTAAAATGACCACCCAAAAGACTCCATTAACTCATAACTGAGGCTTCTGAAGTATTTTTCATCATCACACCAAAACTAAAAAGTGCAACGAAATAAGCTAAAGCACTGTTTGCTCACAACATGTTATCAGACTTCAATAGTAACCTCAGAAACATCATCTGAAAAAAAATCTTACACTCACCAAATATAAGTTTAGACTCACCATCTTCTTGCTTTCAAACTCTTAAATTAATTAGCATTTTTACTTACAAATTTTCCAATAATTCCAGTGTGGTCAAATAATATTCTTGTGTGTGAGGGAAATACATTAGAGACAGAGAGAGAGACAGAGAGAGAAAGAGATCAGAGAGGTAAATGTAAATCATCCCAGTGCCTGACAGACACATTAGGGTGCATCTGTGATGTATTAGCAGAACTGATGTCTTACATGAAGAATTGCATATAAAATGTCACACGTCACAGCAAATAGGCCTTACTTGTTTTCATTGCTGGCATCATACCGAGGCATCGGGTCAAAATCGTTGCCATTGACATCAAAGCTGGCATGGGGATCCTGCAGCCAACAGAAGAGAGAGAACCAATTTCTTGTTAATTAGCCATTGACTCATATGGTCCATACATTCTTCAGCAGGTTTCTACAAGAAAGTAATTAGTAATTAGAGGAACATTCCTGTGGTTTTGTGATGACTGCCTGTTTTAGGAAAGGATTTAGATGTTCAATAATTATAGGGTTTGCATTTTTTTAAATTTTTGTTTTGGAAGAATTGGAAGATAGCAAATGTTCTAGGAAAAAACACTGTTCCAACAACTATTATGAAATGGGAAGAGCTGCTTGACACGTGTGTGTAAGTTTACTAAATGAAATACTGATATTCCTCCCCTGAGACATTATGAAATAAAGACTGTGTGTTCCAAACCAAGATTGCATTAAATTTATCAAGGGTCAACAAACTATCCCAAATAATGTATAATAAAAGAAAAAAAGTCCTATCTTATATTTTGGAAAAATAATATATATTTCCTCCAAGAAAATTTTCTTGCAGGTATTAAGATACATTTCAAACACACAGTGGGAAAATGCATCAAATTTGGAAAGGAGTATACTTTTCTAAATTTTCATCACATTTTCAGTGAGCATATTCATTTCTAAGGTATGTGCAATGAATGTTTTTGTGATGTTTCCTGAATTTACGAAGATTCTTCCTGCTGAAAATGGTTTACAGTGCAAACAGCTGTCGGTTTGTGTGGCTTCTGTTAATTGATGTGGTAGCATGTGGTGTGTTGACATAGCAAGTAGTTCTTTTTAATCTCGTCTTTGTTGAAAACCAGTTACCACATCCACCTCAAATGTTCCTCTTTGCAGCAACCGGACATATAGAAGGGATTTGTCATCAAACCAGCAATGTTCATTCAAAGCAGAATTCCATATGTACGACTGGTGACAGGATACATCCTTAAGCATGGGTAGTTTAAAATAAACAACTTCAGAACTGTGGACACCACAGTAAGTTTTTGATTGACTGTTAATAATGCCACCATTAACCCCATACCTTAAATGCTCTGTCAACATGAAATTCACCCAACATAAAGCTTGTATACCACTGAAGTCTTACAAAAGACCCATGGACTTTTTACAGGTTAATATGTGCACAGGCTTTGTGCTGGCCCGCTGCATATGGGCAAGCTTCACTCCCAACACTATTGGTCTGTTTTCTTCATGTCTATGCACATACAGTAGGCACTTCCTATTTCCTAAAAACATTTAATACTCAAGGTTGCACAATTCTAGGTAATGAATATGCCTGTATCATAGAATAGGCACCTCTAGCAATGCATAGTGCTGAGGTTCTATGTAGTTTGAAAGGACACTATCAAACTTTTTTGTAAGCCAAACCATAATGTAGCCATAAAGCGGCCTGCTGCATATTAAGAGATCTTTCACATTTATTTGAAACCAATCTTTTAAATACAGTTAAAAACACACAAATGGAAACCCTCCAAGGGCATGTGAAAATTACTGTAAACAATGGGCCTGCTTCTTCTCTCAGTTACTTCAGTGTAAATAGGGAAATAACATTACTGGAGTCACAGGAGTCTTGACCCCCAGGTCAGCCACACTTGCCTATTTACTCATAATGATACATGTCCTTTCCCCACTATGTCATTTCTAGCAAGAGAATACATAGTTTTATGTAAGTGGATAGATACAGTCAAAAAGACATACAAAAAACTAGAACTCTTGGTTCCAAAATGATACCTTTTAATAGACCAACTGGAAAATGGCAAGAAAATTTTCCTTTTCTGCAAGCTTTCAGGATCAAAGTCCCTTCGTTAGGCTCTGGGAAAATTGTAGATGGTACAAGATGGTAAAAAGTCCCCATAGGTAGGAAAGAAACTTCATTTTTGCACAGAGGGAGCTGAAGATGGAAGTCTGTCCCTCTGGGTCCATGAAAGTGTCTTTGTGAGCTGCGTTAAGTAGCTCTTTGATGTATTGATCAGGTAGATGTAATCAAGACCTTCAAGAAAGTCCATCAGCTAAATATTTTTGGCGTATAAAAGTTTACAGCTATATATTGGTAATCCCTCTATATGAGGATAATGCCTGCCAGGGGAAGGAGAGTGTTACTTGTGAGTTTTAAGGTGGATGAGAAGTCCATTCCATGCTCTGCAAGTTTTTTCACAGATATGACAAGTGGTGCCTTGGGGCGGGCACATTGGCCAGGATGTTGTGCGATTTAATTCCCCTTCTGCCATTTCTCAGCTTCCTAAGCAAGATGGTTCTCTTTGAAGTGGACGGTAGCTTGATGCACGGTGCAGTCTGTTGATACCTGTTACCAGCCAGCACTTCCCAATTATGGTTGAGGTGACCCTTTTTAAGCTACGCTTTTCAGGGTGTCCTTGTGATGCTTCCTCTGTCCTCTGTGGGTCCTCTTAACGTGACTAAATGGAGAGAAGAGGACTTGCTTTGGGAGATGAGTGTCAGCCATCCACACACAATGGCCAGCCCAGCAGAGTTGATGTTTCATGATCTTTGCCTCAATGCTGGTTATTTTAGCTACAGGGGATGCTGGCATTGGTGAAGTGGTCTTCCCATCTAATGGAAAGGATCTTCCTGAGGCAATGCTGATGGAAACATTCCAGGCACTTAAGATGGCTTTTATATGTCACCCACGTTTCACATCCATAGAGGTGCATGGGGATAACCACTACATTATAGACCAAGATTTTAATTTCCATCTGCAGATCTCAGTCATCAAAGACACGGCAAAGCAGCTTTCCAAATGATATTTTGGCACAGCGAATCCTGTTTGATTTCTATATCAAGACCGACTGACTGACTGACCGGGCAAGGTGACTGCCAAAGTATGGGAAATGCTCAATGTTTTCCACGGGTTCTCCACCAATGGTAATTTGTGGGGGGGAGGAGCCACTTGTGTTGGGGCAGGCTGAAGGAGCACCTAGGTCTTCCCAATGTCAAGGGAAAATCCCAGGCTGTGATAGGCACCTGAGAAAAGGTCAAGGGTGGACTACAGGACAGTCTCAGTTTGCGTGAGGATAACACTGTCGTCAGCATACTGAAGGTTGGTAATGCCAGTCTTGGTAACTTTCATTTTGAAGAAAGTTCAAGAAAGACCTTCAAGAAAGTGTCTCGGACGGCCAGAGCCGACTCGAGTTACATTAGAAATTGGTCGTACGTTAGGGCGGGCTGGTGAATGGAGAGGCAGACACAACTTATTGGTTGTAAAAAACTTTACTCATGCCGCTTGCAATCACGACGCAGGTAGTCCGGTCGTCGGAACAACCACACGAGTTGTTCCAGCTGGCGGGGCCCAAGCCAGTTAATCCGTCCGCAATTTGAAGCCGGCGGGGAAAGGGGTACATCGGGGTTGCGCTCAGTGACGGGAAGAAAGATCGATAGGTGATCAGTCTATCGATCGGCAGCCGCAAGTCAGATAACTTCAGAGGCACTCTGCAGCGTGCTCAAAGCTCTTCGACTTGGGCGGAAGTCGCACGGAATTTTAAACGGCCAGCGAGCCAATTACTAGCCACCACGTGTGAATAATTTAGCACTGGCCAATAGCGGGGCACAAATTTACATCCGAATAGTGGGAACTCTTTGCACCGTGCATTTCTGTGCTGCAAAGAAGAAATGCATCCTGCAAAGGAAACTGTAAATTGGTGGGAACTCTCTCCTGCACGCGGGCTCTCAATTGCAGCAGAACACTCTGCCGTGCAAAGGAGCTCTCATGTGGCCAGGAAATTCCATAGTGCCGAGGCACAAAAATCACTGGGTTGTGACAGAAAGTTCCATTAGCTATATATTTTTGGCCTATAAAGGTTTATAGCTGGATGCTCATGAAATCAGCTGATGTGCACTCTATTTAGTAACTCTAGAAGTAGTTGTGGTGAGATGATCTTAGGCCACAGTAGTTAGAGAAGAGAGAAAGAATAAAAAAACAGATTGTTGAATTCAATGCTTTATAAATTCAGCACAGACTCCCTATGGAAGACATATTAATAGTCTTGGCAGGATTCAAATTTTATCGGTAAACATTAATAAATGTTGATTTCACCTCATACAGACTGACAAAAAATATTTCCATCGTTAATAAATGAAATGTATAGAAAGCGGACAAAAATGATGGGTGATGGAGTATGTGATGGCACGAAAACCAGTCATACAGGACTGTGCTGACTGTAGTTTGGACTGTAAGTCCAAGAAACGCCAGGGGAGTGGGAACAAAGGAAGAAGTAGTACTACCAAATGAACAAAATCACATCATCATAGAAAATTAGGATTAGAAGTGACCTCAAGACATCTAGTCCAACCCCCTGTTCAAGTCAGGACCATCCCCAATTAGATCATCCCAACCAAAGCTTTGTCAAGTTGGGCGTTAAAAACCTCCAAGGATGGAGGGTCCACAACCTCTCTGGGTAAAATGTTCCAGTGTTTTACTACCCTCCTAGTGAGAAAATTCTTCCTAATATCTAACCTAATCTTCCCTTGCTGCAACTTGAGACCATTGCTTCTTGTTCTGTCATCTATCAACAATGAGAAGACTCTAGATCCATCCTCTTTCAAACCCTGTTTCAGATAGTTGAAGGCTGCTATTAAATCCCCTCTCCGTCTTCTCTTCTTTAGACTAAATAAGCCCAGTTCCCTCAGCCTCTCCTCCTAAGTCATGTGCCCCCTCACCATTTTTGTTGCCCCCTCACTGGACTCTCTCCAATTTGTCCACATCCCTTCTGTAGTGGGAGGCCCAAAACTGGACACAGTACTCCAGATATGACCTGACCAGTGCCAAATAGAGGGGAATAATCACTTCCCTTGACCTGCTGACAACACTCCTACCAATGCAACCCAGTATACCATTTGCCTTCTTTGCAACAAGGACACACTGTTGGCCCATATTCAGCTTATTCTCCACTGTAACCCCCAGGTCCTTTTCTGCAGAGCTACTGCCCAGCCAGTCAGCCTCCAGCCTGTACTGGTGCATGAGATTATTCCGTCCTAAGTGCAGGACTTTGCACTTGTCCATGTTGAACCACATGAGATTTCTTTTGGCCCAATCCTCCAATTTGTCTAGGTCATTTTGAGTCCTAGTCCTACCTTCCAGTGTATCTAGTACTCCCCACTAGCTTGGTATCATCTGCAAACTTGCTGAGGGTACACTCTATACCATCCTCTACGTTGTTGATAAAGAGAAAACTGGCCCCAGGACTGACTTCTAGGGCACTCCACTTGATACTGGCTGCCAACTAGACATCGAGACATTGATTACTACTCTCTGAGCCTGATGCTACAGCCAGTTTCTATCTACCTTACAGTCTATTTATCCAGCCTGTACTTCCTTACCTTGCCTGTGAGAATGTTGTGGGAGACCATACCAATGCCTTGCTATAATCAAGCTATATCACATCCACTGGTCTTCCTGCATCCACAGAGCCAATTGTCTCAACATAGAAGGCAATTGGGTTGTACAGGCATGACTGGCCCTTGGTGAATCCAAGCGAACTGTTCCTAATCACCCTTTTACTCTGAGTGCTTACAAATGGATACCTTGAGCATCTGTTCCATGATTTTTCCAAGGACTGAGGTGAGCCTGACCAGTCTGTAGTTCCCTGGATCCTCCTTTTTACCTTTCTTAAATATGGGCACGATGTTTGCCCTTTTCCAGTCATCTGTCACCTCTCCCAATCACCATGAGTTTTCAAAGATGATGGCCAGAAGCTCTTCAATCGCATCATCCAACTCCCTCAGTATCCTCAGGAACATCCTACCTGGCCCCATGGACTTGTATATGTCCAGCTTTTCTAAATAGTGCCTAACCTGTTCTTTGGCTACTGTTGGCTGCTTACCTCCTCAAGAGGCTGTGGTGCCAGATGTAATAGTCTGGGAGCTGACCTTGCCTGTGAAGACTGAGGTGAAAAATGTATTGGGCATGCCTGCATTTATACCCAACTGCACAGTAACCACTGGTACTGCATAGTTCAGGCACTGCATGGGTCATTTCTGACCCTAATGTGCATTAGCAAAGAGCTACTGTGCAGTAGATTTTTACTACTGCATAGTAGCAGTGGCATCACAGTTTGTGCCCACCAACACTACGTCGCCATAGCAACAAGCTACATCACCATATCTCTTCACCGCAGTGATGTAGTGTCTCATTCAGAAATGCCAATTGAGTACTTCAGCCTCTTCCACATCTGTCACTAGGTTGCCTCCCCCATTCAGTAAGGGATCCAAACTTCCCCTGACCTTCCTCTTGGTATTGACATACTTATAGAAACCCTTCTTGTTACCCTTCATGTCCCTTGTTAGCTGCAACTCCAACTGCACTTTGGTCTTCCTGACTTCATCTCTGCATACCCGAGAAATACTCTAATACTGATCCCTAGTTGTTTGTCCAAGTTTCCCTAAACCCAGCTAAGCTGGTCTTCTGGCATATTTGCTAATCTTTCTGCACACTGGGATGGTTTGTTCCTGCTCTCTCAGTACAACTTCCTTAAAGTACAGCCAGCTCTCCTGGAGTCCTCTCCCCCTCAGTCTGGCTTCCCAAGAGATCCTGCCCATGAGTTGAATTTTGCTTTTCTGAAGTCCAGGGCTCTTACTGTGCTGCTCTCCATCCTTCCTTTCCTCAGGATCCTGAACTTAATCATCTTATGGTTGCTGCTGCCCAAGTTGCCATCTACTACATTCCTCACTAATTCTTCCCTGTTTGTGAACAGCAGGTCAAGAAGAGCACTACCCCTAGTTGGCTGCTCCAGCACTTGCACTAGGAAGTTGTCCCCAACACTTTCCAAAAAACTTTCTGGATTGCCTGTGCACTGCTGTATTGCCCTCCCAGCAGATGTCAGGGTGATTGAAGTCTCCCATGAGAACCAGGGCCTGTGATTGGGAAGCTTCTGATAGCTGCTTGAAGAAAACCTCATCCACCACTTCCTCTTGGTCTGGTGGTCTATAGCATCACTATGACATCACCCTTGTTCCTCTCTCCTCTAACCCTAACCCAGAGACTTTCAACAGGCTATCTCCAGTTTCATACTGCAGCCCTGAGCAATCATATGGCTCTTTTACGTAAAGTACAACTCTTCTTCCTGTCCATTCTGAACTGTTTATACCTATCCATGACAATGCTCCAGTCATGCAAGCTATCCCACCAAGTCTCTGTTATTCCAATGTAAATGTAAGTTTTTGTAATTTCCATCCTTTTGTCATTACTGTTGGGAGATAATACTCACTGCTCTTCTTCCCTCTCTTTTTTCTGCCAACAGCCAGAAATCTAAATTCAGGATAATAAAACAGCAATATGAACCATTAGAAAGACTCACATAATTCTGTATCAAGTCCGGGTGATTTCTTTCAATGCCGTCATCCAGGATGGTGACTACAACATTCTTCCCAGTGTAGCCTCTCTTCCAAGCACCTACTATATTCATGTCTGATTGACAGTTATGGGTGTTATCATTGCAGTGCTATAGGGTGAAGAAGAGATAAATTCATTGGATGTTGGAGTTTACTAAACAGTGCCAAGATGGGATATTAGCTTATTCATTAACATAAGCAATTAAATTATAAGGAGATGAGCATAGTGATTTGAATAGCAGATACAGAAGACCAATGTCTTCATTAAGTAATACTACGATAATCACAAATATGCTAAATAAAATGGACATCGCTGTAATTGTTTATTTCAAGATGAGACTGCATTCCAAGCAATAGAAAAGGGCAATTCTTAGCCACAATACAACACTGGAAGCAGCTTTTTTTGTGACCATTAAGCCATTCATTTGAAACATGCACTTGAATTATTTGAATTTTTCAGCAAAACAAACCATATGTGGATAAAAGTAGACAAATTTCCATAGAGAAACAGTCATGGAAACAAACCCTGCTTTTTGGAGCTTATGTACTGTATAATTTCTTGACAGAATGTCTGGAAACTAATCCAGATTCATTTCTATCTACAAAAGCGGCTTTTGGCAGGTTTTGTGCAATATCAGCAGGAGATGAGCAGCAGTTAAGAACCTGCAACCAAAACAACCCTCTGAAAAACTTGCAGTTTAAGATATCTGATGAATTGAAGATGGCTACATTGTCAACAGTCTGGGGTACAGCTTACAGGGGTACACAGAAATAGAATGACTCTCCTTTTACATGAGTACACCCCAGTTTACTTGAAGGAATTTGGCTTGCTATGGAAATGAGATGTCAGATTTGGGTATTCACTCCATTAGCAACTCTGACCCACACACAGAATGATTCCCTAAAAAGCCTGTTCCAGTCAGACCCTCAGCATCATTGCTTTTCTCCAGCTTTTCCAGGCACAGTGAAAAAACAAAAAAAAAAGGGTAAAAAAGAAAAAAGAAGGAAATGCTTGGAACGAGTATCATAGCAACAGTAGCCAAATGAGAGCTCTCAGCCTTCACTCTCTCCTCTCCATAGCCTTGCACCCGCACCTCAGTGCAGCATTTTAGCACTTTTGGAAACTGTAAACAGCGCAAGTGAATTAGAAGGTTTGGATCTGCCCTCACAGTGTAACTCCACTGAATGTAACTGTTAGTATTAAATTTGGTGTAATTTAATATAAGATGACTATCAAGCTCTCCTTTCCTACTGCCTTCTTCCATTCACTCCCACACACCTTGATACAATACACAAACCAAAGGATTTAACAGTGTTTATTAGCTGTTACTAAAGCAAGGCTGTGCTATTAAACATTGTATATACAAAGCATCTGCACATCCTTAGGAACATATTCCAAAGAATGTCATTCTATGTCTTGCCTTAAAAAAACACACAGACTGCTTGTTTTATAAGATTACCTATGCTCTAAACTTTCCCTGTTCACACATTATGCCATGTTTGTACAAAAGTCTTTGTGATATACAAACTACAAGGTTATAACATTGCTTAGTTCTTGTACATCCTCTGGATATTCAAGAGTATTACTGACCTCAACCAACTACAGGGGGACAGGGGATACACCTATCCCACCAGTGAAAAAAAAGGAAACTAAACTTTATGTTACTATGCAAAATATTTGGCATGACAAGCCTCTTTTATAAATGCACCACACTTTGTACAACATAATTATACATTTAAAATATGCAAGATAAGCTAGACATGCTGATAGAATTCCACCTTACAAACTAATTAATTCAGACATTTCCTGCACAGGTACCATGACCAGAGACTCAGAGAGTCATAATAAAACAGCATCATTTCAACTTAGAGGCTATCAACAGAAGTTGCATACATGTACACCAGTATAAGTGAACGGAAACTAATTCCAACCTGTAACATACGTAAGTTCAATAACATAAAAACATAAGTTCAGTACACAGAAACTAATTTCAAAATGGCTGAACCTTGTTTAAGATAAACCTGGCTGAATGTAGTATGGGAGTCAACTGATTCAGTCTACTGAACTTGTGTCCCAGATCCCCTCCCGACTGAAGTTACCTCACAGTTCCCCAGCATCCCAGGGTGCTTTGCAACTGTGGTCTGTGCTGTCTGCTCTAGTCACAGAGCTGAGGCAATAAAGACTGCTCCCTAGCCTGCATCCTGCTTGTGCCTGTTGCCCGGTGGGATGTGTGGGCAGGGGAATGGATCCTGGGCTTCTCCTGCCCCGAGCCCAGCAAGCCCCCAAGCTGCAAAAGCCTCAGCCCCACCTCCTCATCAGCAGCCAATCTCTCTGAGAGGTGGAGGAGGCAATGCACCTCCCAGCCTGACACCAGCCCCGTCCCCCCACCGCAGGGGTCTATATGGCATGGGCAGGGAAGCCCCCACATACAGCCCACTGAGCTGGTTCTCTTCCTCCCTGCAGCTGACACCAAGCATAGGGGCATGTGTCCAGCAGTCAATCAGGCATGGGCTGCTGATCAGCTGCGATCAACAGCTTTCTGCAGTGTCTGGTATGACAGGAAGTGCATGAATGCCCCTGGCTTCTGGCTTGGGTCAGTGCAAGCTCCTGGCTCCTTTGGCTACCAGAACACTGTATGACAATTCAGTTCATTACTGGTCATGAATGACTGGTGCCTCCCAAGACTGGCAGGAGGGCACAATTTGTGGGCGGCAGCATGGGCGGTGGGGTGGTGAGCGGCGACTGCCTGCAGAAGCCAGCAGCAGCATCGGTGGCAGAGGGGGGCAGGTTGCAATTGGCAATCGGCAACCACCCGCAGAAGCCAGCAGCATCATCAGCAAGTGGTGATCGGCGACCACCTGCAGAAGCCAGTGTTGGTATGAGCAACTGACCGTAAAAGCCGGTGTCAGTGCTACCGGCAGGGGGGTGGAGGGTGGCAAGTGGCAACTCCCCGCAGAAGCGGTGGCGGTGGCGGCAGCAGCCAATCTCAGGGGGGGCATGTGCCTCCCCCTACATGTCGCGTATGTTACCTGCCCTATCTACGTAGCTTTGAAAAACCTGTGAAGATAGAGTTGATTCTACCTTAGGCTTTTTGAGCCTTTGTACTTAGCCACATGGTTTTTTGACCACTGGCTGAAGGATACCATAGAAAGGAGTACCCCATCACACAGTATAATTTGATGACAGTTTTTAAAAGACAGTTAAAGGACAATATTTTTCTTTGCACTGTTTAATTGGGAAAAATTTAATGACACTGCAGTTAGCATTTAACAAGAACCATCTTCAAGGCTGAGACACGTCTGTATTGGAAAGATGTTTTAGGAAGCAAAAGGAGAGGTGTAGAGACAGAGAGAGAGAGAGAGAAATTTTCTCATTCTTGGAGTTAATATCTGAAAAAGGTACGAAGCCAAAATAATTATTCAGGGGTCTTCTGTATCCTTTCAGTGTCAGATGTGTGCCTACAATTTCTTAGCTATTTTACTAAACCCTCTCAAATGTAGCTGATTGTCATTACCATTATCTTAATGTCTTCTGTCTGGTGTTCTAATTTCAGAGGCCTGAGACTGGTTATATTCAATTACGAATTAATACCTCAAAGGAAATGCTAGGCTAAGGCATCAGTAATCATTTTAAGGAACAATATCTTATGAAACTCCAAAGCCAGAAATAAATTCAGAGGTAAATTATATAAGGCATTCTATTTTGTATTTCCACCTATAAATATACAATATTGTGATTTCATTCTGTTTTACCCCATCTTGGATTCAAACAATTTTAACAGCCCGTGGCTGTGTCTACATGAGACGCTGACTGTGCAGTTACTGTGCAGTCATATATTATGTCCATACACAAGTACTAAATGACAGCGCAGTAACCAGCATTACTGCACAGTAGTGTCCCCAAATGGCCTTTTGGTGAAGCTGACTGTGCAGTAGCTTGTTACCATTGCGCAATAGCGTCACATCATGCTTCATGCAACATGACAGTACTGTGCAGCAGTAACGAATTACTGCACAGTAGTAATGAGCTCTTGTGCAGTCAGCATCTCATGCATATGCAACCAGGGTTTCACAAATGGATAAAATTATGCCCTCTAAGAGCTTTCCCACTGCACAAAACACCGCTTTCTTGTGCTTTTTGACTAATAGTTAAAAGATTATTTCAAAATCCAAGTGAGAAAAGTAAGATAATCAGAAGGATGAGATTTTTAGGTCCAAATCTCTAAGGTGGCAGGTATAAAACTAATTTGGTAGAACAGTTTCAAAGCAGTAAAACTCCCAAGTGCCAGCCCCCAGATAGACATAAGGGGAAACAAAGATACAACTTTGTTGAAAAGAAAAAAGAGATACTTTTTAGAATTTCATTACAATGATAGTGAAAAGGGTCTTGGTAAATTGTGATTACTGAGTGATATTCTTTATTAAAATGATGTTTCTTTTTAATAGTATTTTTATATTTTTAGGAGTAATTAATATTGTGAAACTTTAATCAAAGCTGGTGGAAGATGAAAGTGAACTCTTAGAAGTAGGAGGATATTTGCTAGGAATAAACATTTTAGTTTTCTTAAGTACAATATGATATTTACTAAATATTTTCCAGGAACTGTTATCTGAAATGAACTGCTTTCTTCTTAGTTTCACATCTGAATAAGTTTGGAATGCTGTTCCACTCAGCATTTTGAAGGCCTTCAGGAGCTGGAGATAATATAGGAACTGTTTCATCTCATGCATGAATGCTTTGGATTAACTAGTATCTGAGTTCTGAAACCACACAATCTATTGGCTCACTACCTTTTCTGCCAAGGTCTTTTCCCAATGAAACATTCGAAATATGTACTACCTTAAGTATTTTAGCACCAAAATGATCCCTATGTAAAGCTAAAGAGTTCAGTTCATTTACATCAGGGATAAATTTTGTTTTTAATCATTACTGATGGTTATCAAACAATACCAATTTAGAGACCAGTAAGAGGAAATACATATTAAATGTGCACTAGGTTATGCTTATTTAAACAGTAAACCAGAACAAAAACTCAATACAAAGGGATTCTTACAGTTTTAGAAGTATCTGTTGATTGGGACAAGAATATTTCACAAGACAAAGGAGCTT